CAGCCTGATGGTTAAGGTACTGGATCCTACATCTCCAACTCTGCAGTTCAAGTCTCAGACCTAGTGGCTTGAAAATTATGCCGGGTATGTTTGTGTGCTTGCCAAAAATACAGAGAGAAAGAATGGAGAAGGGATTGCAGTGTGGCCATCCCCACGGGGAATGATTTCACACTTCCCCTCTTTCTCAGTCTGTCTCTATAACAACAACAAAAAGAATAGATGCAATTAGATTTACCAAGCAAAATTCAGGAAGTCAAAGCAATGTAAGGTGTAGGTAAACCAAAATTTAGCTACGTATTTTACTCCCAGGGATTAATTAGACATTTTATTCCGAAAACTTACTAATTTGCTGGAGAACACACTTTACCCAGCACTTAGATTTTTTTTTTTTGGAGAGGTTTTTGCTGTAGGGTGCGGGTGCTCACCAGAAAGACAGAGAGAGACAGAGAGACAGAAAGTGAGAAATCACACACACACACCCCCCCAGGGGGGATGGCCATGCTGCAATCCCTTCTTCATTCTCCTCTCCTCCCGGCATGAGTTTAAGCCACTGGTCCAGGACTCGAACTGCGGTTTGCTACATGGGAGTCCAGCAACATAGCCATTATGCTAACTGCTGGTCCCCCCCAGCACTTAGATTTGAAAGAAACATTTTGAGTGAAATTCTTAAGTTGTTTAATGATTGCTAAAGGCACAACACCCAGGTAATTCAACGAAAGCATGTATCTTCAGGGCAGAAGACAGATTGACAAAGGAATCGATAGTTAACTGCCATGTCTGTTAAACTAGTTTCTGTTAAGCTAGTTTCTGTAACTGATTCAGCCAGTTTTAAAAAAATAATCTTTGTAATTAATTTATTTTTCTTATTGTTGTCAAATGCACATAAAGTTTTGTCACTTTACCCATTTTTAAGTATATAATTTCGTGACATTAAGTACATTCACATTGTTGTGCGACCATCACCAGTACCCTTTTCTAGAACTTCATCTAGAAGTGAAATTCTGTGCCCTTTAAACAGTAACTCCTCATTCCTCCCTCCCCTCAGCCCCTGGCAATCACCATTCTACTTTTTTTTCTCTGAATTTGACTATTCTTCATACCTCGTGTAAGTGTAATTATAATTGTACAGTTATTTGTTCTTTTGTGTCTGGCTTATTTCACTTAGCATAATATATTCAGGGTTCATCTATGTAGTAGCATGTATCAGATTTTCATTCTTTTTGTGGCTGAATGATATTCTATTGTATGGATATACCACATTTTAATCCATTCACCTGTTGAAGACATTTAGGTTACTTCTACTTTTTGCTATTATGAATACTGCTGTGAAATAAATGTACAAATACTCTGAGTCCCTGCATTTAGCTCGGTGGATATACACCACCCAGAAGTGGAATTACTGGCTCATATGTTAGTTCTATGTTTATTTATTTATGAGAGATGGAAAGGGAGTGAGACAGAGATGAGTGTTTTTGACAGTCTGTGTTGCTATCCTCCTGCCCCAGTCTTTGATTTAACTGAGATTGCAGGTGCAGTTGCCAGGCTTCCAGGTAACTTCCAGGATTACAAATGGGGGCCCTTTCTTGTAGTTTCCAGCCAGGTCACCTAGACAGGTGGGCGATCCTATCATGAACCCACGGATTCCATACTTGTAAGCAGAACACTAATAGGAGTGCTTAGATATGCAGAGAGCTCAGGTTGTCCTTAAGAGTTTGTCATCAGAATAGATGACACTGATGTCCCACAGTTCTTGGAGAGCGTGGCTTTGGTCTGGAAAATTCCCCAAACAGGTATCATTTACTAGGGCCCCAGAAAAATCTGAAAAGTATACCCATTGCTGAAAAGTATACCCATTGCGATGAAAATGTTCTGGAATTAATGAGGATGATTTTAAAACTTTCGGCTAAAAACTGCTAAATCGTGTACTTTAAAGAGTGAATTTTATACTATGGAAATTACACCTCGGTAAAAAAAAATTAAAAATATGCACTTAATATTTAATTTTAGAATTAACATAACTTCTTAGTCTGCTAGAGTTACAAAATGTGTCTGTCTCTGAGTAACCAGCCACACTGATAACAGCTTTTGAGTTGTATTTATTGAGTACCCATTAGTGTTTGGCACTAGGAACATCCCAATACCAGTGAATGAAACAAAGTCCCTATCCTCAGGAGTGTTGTTTCAGTGATAGGAGATGGTAACAAAATGTATAGGTATGGCATGCTATAAAGAAAAAGCAATCAGAAAGAGGAACAGAATGACAGAATGTACAATCTTAAATAGGTGTCCTTTCTGAGGAAGTACATTTTAGCAGAGACTGGAATTCATGAGCAACTCAAATGAATATCTGGGGAAAGAAAATCCCAGTTTGAGGGAGCAGCAAGTATGAACGCCTTGTGGCAGGAACATAATGTGTGTTGTTAAAGACACAGCAAGAAACCCCAAGCAGAGTGAATTAGGGGAAGAAGAATAGAAAATTAGGTTGGAATGGTAGTCATGGAAATCCTGTTAGGTGATGGTGAGGGCTTTGATTTAATAAATGGTGGAAGGTCTTTGGAGCATTACTGTGTAATTTAGAAGCCAGTTAAGTGTTGGTAGAGAGCTTTTTTTGCTGTAAGATGTGTGTGCTCACCAGACAGAAAGCGAGAAATCACCACCACCACCACCCCCAGAGGGGATGGCCATGCTTCAATCCCTTTTCCACCATTCTCTCAGGATTTGGGGCATGCATGCACATGTGTCCAGCATAAGTTTAAGCTACCAGGTCCAAGACTCAAAGACAGTTTACTGTGGGAGTCCAGCAACGTAACTATTATGCAGTCTGCTGGTCCCTGCAGAAAACTTTTAATCTCTTACTTGTGAATTGGAGACTGCTTTCCTTGATATACTTTTGATATCTTACAGAAAAAAAAAAAATCTTACGTAACATAGGAGATTTAAGCATGTATGTTGAAACAAGCTTTATTATATAATAGTTTTACATTCATGAATGTTAAATTTACTGAATATATGAAACAAAAAAGTACTACAATTTGAGTTAGTATAGAAAGGTCTTAGTTAATAAGTTCTCTCACCAGTGTTAGGTATGTTACACTGTTTTCCTCCTGAGCACTTGTACTAATATATTGCTTTTTATTCAAAGCTTGCAAATACAGAAGAATACATAGATGGTGCATTGTCTGGACATCTGGGTGAAGTTTTAATAAGGTAACAAACAACAGTTTATATAAGGAGTTTTAATGAGGTAACAATAGCAATAGTTTATGTAAGGTGTTACTGGTGAGCATTAGAAATATCTGCACAAATAAATTAGTGCCTCAATTTTGGAATAATTTTTTAAGCATTATAAATTTAACATAATACTGTACAACTAACTTTAAAAGTCTTCGAAATTGTTAAACATGTCAAAGTTAAGATTTCAGCGTTTGGAGCTATTTATACTTAAGATTTTTTTTTAGTATTGGTATTAAATATTCTGACTCTTAGCTGCAACCATTTTCTGTGGCTTCTTGTTGAGGATACAAAAACACTTATCATCAACAAAAAT